ACCAAGTTTTCAAAAAAGCTCGGATCACCAGTTCTGCTAACGAAGCAAATGCATCCTCTTGCTCCAAGTCTGCAACGAATTTCGATAGAAAAAAGGCAACATTTTCAGATTTTAAGCAGAGCTCCAATAAAGGGGCGACGACATCAATAGGATTTAGGGCCTGGTTATCCGCTAAAATGTATAATGTTATGCGCACCAGTAACAAAGCCAAAGCGCTGGCAATCGATTGTGCGTCATTCTGAATGTTTGATTTCTGTGTGATCATCCTTAAAATCATTTTCATTATAAGGTTGAGCGTTCCACTTTCAAGGGAATTGTCTGCCCACAATGCCTTAATTTCAATGGAGCATAGCTCAACAAGAGAAGTAAGTGCTAATTCTCGTCCGTCCATGTCAACACCACTTTCGTCATCGCCAAATCCAGCCTCTGACTCACCAAGACGCCTTTTCCGGCGAGCACCACGGCGCTGCGATGGCGTAGCGATGCTGGCAAACCCACCTTCTTCTTCATCAGGTGGAGGAGCAGTCGACATTAATATATTGCACAGGATGAACACATGCATTTTAAGAGTGGATCTCAAGCAAATTTCCAATGTCGCATTAGAAGCCACTGCATTATCCTTCTTCTTTAGAAAAATAAACGTTACCTCAAGAACTTTTTTCATTCGTTCACTGATTTCATGACAAATTTTATGTCGTGATGCTTTAGTGACCTGGACGTCCGAATTCTCATTACTAAGTCCTTTGATGTATGAATAAAGCGGATAAAAAAGTTCCTGTTTTAAAAAGAGGGCCGTCGGAGATTTTTCACGACACAAAGAATCAAACAGACGTGTCAGATCATCCAGCTGTTGTCGAGGTGGAACGTCAAATTCCGATATCATGTCAACATAGTAATGCGCTTGGCCCATCCTCGACTCATTCTCAAGGTCAGATACCTGGTTCGGAATGAAAAACTCTTTTAAATCATTCATTTCTATGGAATATCGAAAGTTTTAATTAAAGCTTCCGTTTCATTCCCTTACTATAAATATATACTTGTAGATAAAGCATTTTGGGACTTCATTAGAAGCATCTCTGTGTACATCGCATCATTATCATAAAGACATTTTTATGTTTCACTTGTCATATGTGTGGAAAAAACTCAGCAAGTTAATTTCCCATTTGTGAATAAAAAATATTTTGAAATAAAATACCCTTTTAGGAGCTTTACTTTATCTTCAGGTTCAAAAAAATATTTAAGAAATAAATTATATATGTATAAGTGTGTGTAATTAATTAAAATAATAAATTATATAAGACAAAAGGTGTGAATACTCTGAAATAATAAAATTAACTTTTCTTTAACCATCTGTAAATCGAGGGACTCATACAATTTGGTATTTTTATTGTATTGAATTTTAGCCATCTGGAGAGTTATCACTGAAATAGAAATTCTTTCTGAATGGAAAAAAAGTGAAAGCTCAAAATAAATCATCTTGGCCTCCGCTGAACGTCCATTCAAACTTCTATAATAAAAGAAGTAAATAAATTAGGATTTTTTTGAAGTATTTAAATTTTGCGATATCATAAATAAATACATCTTTGTGGAAAATGATTTTCAATGGCAATAAGTAAATTAATAAACCCTTTATTAGTTTTGATTTTTGGAGCTGAAATACGTAGAAGTGATAATAATATTCAATATGCCTTCTCTTTTTCCCTCTCTCTTTCTCGAGATAGGTCCCTCCTACCGAAAAACAGGCAAA